TAATAACATCCACTCATCCACTTCGACCCTCAACTCAACGAAAGTGGATGTCATAAATATTTTGAAGTTTTTTTAATCGAAATCAGTATTAACATTTCCTTCTGTCAAAGATACATGGTCGAAACGATTAATAAGGGATTCCCACGGGTAGAAAAGATATGTAGGAAAAAATACTGTTTAGACAACCTTGAAATGATGTCCAAGAAAGATTAAGGTAAGCGAGAAGACACAGTCTACTTTTTATGGAATAAGCCTGTAAACGAGCAGACGCATCACGTGGTGGTAACTGGTAAGCCATCGGCGTCGCCCATGGACACCCGGAACATGTTACAATTGGTTTTACAATTGCGTTACCGGCCCTTTGGGGATTAAGAATTTACGGATTGTTGGGGATTCGGGAATTGAGGGGATTAGGGTAATTAGGCATCCAGTAACCTCACTCACACGACGAAACACAACGCAACTGTTGTTTCACGTCGGTTTTCTATCACTACATTTGTGCCGAAGCATGGCTCTCCCACACTTAAACTACTAAATAACTTGTAAAAACCTTGTAAAAATTCATATAAGCCACATAATAAGCATTATACTAAAATTGGATGGTTTTGGTTAAAAATGTTATTGATATAAAATAAGAATCATTAAAAGGAAGTTTCCGGACGCCAAGTGATGAGTAATAAAAAATATCTTTGCAATCCTTGGTGTCAATGTTAACGAGATATTTTGAGGCTTTTGTCAGACCTTGGCCATGACTGGTTGGTGCCGTTTCGCAGCAACTGAATAAATATTTTGGCTGAGTTTTATCATACGATACGTAAGCACTTATACAGAGCCAGTTACTTGTGTTTTGGTCATGTTTTTGGACTTTATTTCTAAGATAAGTATTTTAATAATGGTGTATTTCTGATGCAATAATATTGGAACTAATGTAAGTATTACAACCCTAATTATATTGTAATAAAAAATATATTTATAATTGTGTGATTATTTATCAGGTAAAAGTTAGAAATTAGTCAATATGAATTACCATGAAATAGAACAGTGTCTTCGAGGTTTCGCTTGATACCTATTTTACTACACACAGTACACACAACAAATACACACTAATAAATACTTGCACAGACTTTACACGCATTCATCCCATTTTTTCACATTTTCATTTAATATTGTATATTACAGTAAGCATGCAGATTCTTTTCGTAATCAGCTGCTAAACGGATTATGTTTGATAGCCGCGATACAAGCTATGCCTAGTGCAGTTTTCACAGCTCAAATTGTAAAAGTGTAACTGGTTTATGATTAAATTATTTCTTATTCTTATTCTTAAATAAAATTATTTAAGATAAGACTCACAATTTTGGGAACTATGAAGAACTATAATACCTGCATAGATGGACCTAAAACAGCTTACATATTTTGGTACCATCCCGTTCAATCTGAATTCATATCATAAAGACGAGACCGTTATGTATAAATACATACATATTGAAGTGCTGTACATATTTTCTCTCAAACGCAGATACCTGTACACAGATGAATATATTACTAGACACGTTTTACATAATTTATTCACACGCCATTAGCATCGCAAGCGTACTTCTCTTGTTTTTTGAGAACGAAGACAATACACTAGATTATATATGCATTGTGTTTCTAATAACATATCTAGTTATATCTTATATAATACAACAATAGATATGTTAATTCTTTAAGTTGTGGATAGACGTTTAAATTAACCATCTTCAGAAACAGTCCCTGACAGGGCTTCCTCAACATGAAATAGTGTTATAGGAGATCACAGTTTAAAAGTCTCAGGTTTATCACAGAGCACTGCTGTCTAGTCTCTGCGAAATGTTCTCTAGTCGCCTTTTGCGATGCAATCTTACGTGCACTCACTTTTCTTGTTTGGGCCTCATTGTAAGAATGTAAGCTATTTACACAAAGAAAGTAAAAAAATCACACAAAATTGCTGCGGAAACCGGAATTCCGCCCAATAAAGTTATGGGGAAGGTCCTTGTATATTGAGAAAATTGATTCGCATATACAATAGAAAAGCGTATGGGTTTTATCTATATAGTTTCTATATTCTACGGGCACCATTGTTCGCCATCTTTTCAAAAGTTGTCCTAAGTCACGTCTGCCAAAACACGCCCTTTATCTAATGCCAGAATACTAAGTGCCAACTTGTGAGTGCTGAAGGGAATGGCATCCGTCCCTAAGGGTGGGGACACACTGGCGGTTAGTTTCATGATTTTCTTGCATAAGTTTACAAACGGGATTAAAATTATTTCAGTTTGAAGCGTAGAAATTATATTCATAATAATTCAATTATATTATTTACCCGGTATATGGGAATAGGCTCACCCTCAATTGCATGGAATCATAATATACATAGTGAAACGTGGGTGTTACATTGTACAGTGGCATTCAGTGCCGTAATGTGCACCTCTGCCTATCCCTTCGGGGATAAAAGGCGTGGTGTTATGTTAAATTATATTAATTTTGAGTAACTAATAAAGGTGATCCTATATAAATTTCACGTTCGTTTTATACATTTTTGGGCAATAATGTAACAAAATTCACTTCTCGTGTCATCTCCCTCTTTTGTATAGCTGTCTCGCTGTCTAAGAAATAAAATTAATCAGTGTCGTTCAATGTAACAAGGAAATCCAGAAGAGTGGAGAAGTTTCTAGTGCGTCAGGCCTTCGCATTGCTATTTTAATTTCACTGATAAAAATAATCCGAAGAATCATATAAATTGCAACAACATTTGCATTTAATCTTAAAGACTTTCCTGATATATAACTTTATCATGTATTCAAATAGCACCTCAGAAAAAGTAAGTAAGCAGAAAGATTGGCTTGGTACTTAAAACTACGCGAATTACGCGAATAAATATAAAAATAACTAAAACACAAAGCGAAATTTAAGTTTTGTATGAGTTTTTTGTGTATCTCTAATCTTTTTATTATATGTATATTATTATATTATTACGAGATACCTACTAATGTTAAGATGTTTACCAACTGACCACTTGTTTACATATAGTCGTGCTGTTTGTGTGTGTGTATGTGTGTGTGCTTGTTTTGTGGTTTCGTCTGCGGTCTGTCTCAATTTATTTTACGACAAAAAACAAATACTGTTCCGCTTTGACTATATTGTGGCCGCAATTTTGTTTATTTGGATATTATTATTATGAATGCTAATTTCGGAATGGCTTCGGTGTGTTTTCTGAAAATGGTAAAGATCGTTGGTCATAAATATGACATATAGATAAGTATAAATCGCGTCCGATCGTATTTGAATAAGAAGTGTTTGTAATAATTGTTATTATGGGCACATATGGGTCGAAAGAGGTATCTTTTGACCACTTTGCTGGATAAATAGTATGATGTTATAGAAGTATTCGATTACTCTTCAAAAAAAAACTACAAACAATTAATAATTTTTATGAATTTTTTAGCATGTCCTTCACTCAGTGTGTCTACACCTTTATAGTTAGGGTCGACGCTCGCGAACAGGTGGTATGTCAACAATGTGAGGGCTGTCGGTATGACAGTAATAAAAGTATATGTATATATAATATATCTGTCTAATATATAACATATAAAGTATATGCTATGTAGGCCAGGACGTTCAAGGTTACGAGAATACGCGAAGATTCCACCGTAATGGAAGTGGGCACGTCAAGTCACTTAGCTTCGTGCGCCCCTAAGTTAGGGTTGTACGTTTATTGTATTTATTGCTATTAGATAGAACATTCTGTACTGTGTGTGTCTATTATATTATATAGTACTTGTTACCGTTGGTGCTCTTCTATACGCGGTTTTACAAAACATTTCTCGTTAATCGATAGTCTCAAGTGAAAAAATCGTGTAAGATATTTATGAATCCATTAGTCATTATTAGGATTTTGAATCAGTTTACATAGCAAGCCCACTTTAAAATACATTAGCAAAAGATTTTTTTTGAGGGAGCTGACTTATATATATTTGACTTATCCCGCCTTGGGTTAGGCGAGAGGGACTCTCGACTCTTACTGACTAAAAACTACTCCATTCCACTCCTGCTGTTCGAGCCGGAGACCCGGTAACCTATTAGGCCTTCCGCGGCATTAACAATAGAATTAAGCTTACCACGGCCACCATTTCCACAGATTTAATTTATTAACTATAAAATTCACAAAGTCGTTCGACTTTTGTTTTTATTGCGGTAGCCCTACATTGTAGCAAGTTTAGTAAGTAATCCTATAAAGAACAAATGTATCTGGATAGTCGCCAACACCTATACCAGCGACATCGTAAATCACATTAGGGTAAGCTTTAAAACGACTCATTACTTCTCTGTTATCGTACCTATATATTATTATATGAACATATTGTATAAAAACTACTATTTACAATTTGAACCGGTTGCGAGTAGCAAAAGTACAATTAGATTCTTTAAATTTTGGATGGGTCTGCGATAATCTCTATCGCAGGTTTAGCGAATATGTCAGACTGGAAAATGTACTGAGGGCCAAGCACGAATACCAATCGCATTCGTATCGTAACATTATCGAGCGAGTTAAGCGTTTTGATTGGTTGGTTCACTTGAGCCGGCCAATCAGAGCGCCGAACGCGCTCGATACTATTACGTTACAAATGCGATAGTTATTCGTGCTTGGCATTCTGGATGCCCTAATGGAGGAAAAGTCGAAATATGTATATAAGCTAGAGTTAGACTTTTAACTAAGTCTGCTTAGGCGAGACGTCTGCTGAAACGCATGTCTAACCAATATAAAACAAGCAGACGAGAGACGACACGACGATTGTTATTCTAATTCATGTACATTTTATTTGAATGAGGAAACATTAGATATTGCCTAACATTAACCCAACATAGCTACTTAATTAAAACCACTGAACATTTGGCACACAGTATTTGACAATGACCAAGAACGGATTTACTTTTTAGGAATTATCTCGCATCAATACAGTCTACTTCCAAGATAATCTTACCTTCTGAGCAGTTCAGCACCATTGTTGACCTTGTCTGCGTTGACAGGAGCCCAGGACTTTTGTACCAGGTAGACCTCGCGTCTCGTGAGTCCAGAGATTTCATTCACCACGTCCGGGTCTCCACCCCACCAAATGTAGGATAGCAGAGCGCCCATAGTATCCTGAGAACAAATAAATTCATAGTTAATAAGACTGAAAACACGCACTTAATCACACCTGGGAGTGAATAGGTTTCTTAAGGGTCGGCAAGACGCATGTAATGCCCCAAGTGTTGCAGGCGTATATAGGCCACGGTAACCGCTTACCATCAGGTGGGCCGTGTGCTTTTGTGCCGCCGTCGTGGTATAAAAAAAATACCTCCTCAAGATCAGAAGAAATCATATTATCTACATATCTAGCTAGAAGGTAGCTTATCCCATGTCATAATTATTATCAATCCATAATAATATTCTATAGCCATCTAATCGACACTTGAATGCCAAGTTTTATAAGATAAAACAAATTAGAAGTGTTTGTAATTCTGATTCTTAGATTTTATTACATAATTACGTTACAGGTCGACCTAAATAACAAATAAATTCGCATAAAATTGGTATGCAGTTTTGTCGGTAGATGGCGCGTGTGCAGTTTTAAGGCGGTTGTGCCTCGGGCGAACGCAGACTAGGAACTGTAATGCCGTCATGTCGCCAGCGGCTGTCTGAGCTCTTTTGCGATTGTGCGGAATATTTTGTAGGGAACTTGACGCTTAGTAATGGAATCTGCTGTGAATTAGACGTGTAAGAACGATTTTTTTACGTTATTCCATGTTAGGGCTTGTTGTGCAGGTCAGAGGTTGAATCCGTAAAGGTGTGTACATTTTAACCTACGAGATAACACTAATATATTTTTTATAGACATTCGCAAGCAATATGTAGGTACCATGGTGGTACATTTAATTTCGTATACATAGTATTTTAATTTTAGATCTATGTACTCAATGAATACAAAGCATGTGCACGATAATATTCCGTAATAGCGGCACCCAGTAATTTAAACGTTCAAATTGAATGCCTCGCAAAACAGCTCCATTGAATTAAATTTAAATTACCGGAACCCGCACATAGTTGTGTAATTTGTAAAATTACTATGATAATATTGTTTGATATTACCGCATTTGCCTCCTACTAGATTTAGAATAACTTACCTAGTGACCTATAATGTCTTAAAACGTCGATATATCGTACCCAAAACTTGTTCATACAAAAGTAGTCTCTAAATATCCGAAATAAGGACTATAATGGACTTAGTGGAGAGCGGTCACCGGTGCCTGCTTGGGGATTGAAGAGTTAAAAAGTTAAAACCTGATAAGTGATAGGTCACCCCCTATTACATGGGACTCGTAACATAAATAGTGAAAAGTGGGTGTTACATTGTACAGTGGTATTAAGTACCGTAATGTGCACCTCTGCTTATCCCTTCGGGGATAAAAGGGACAAATGACAAGTCAAGATTACCCAGATATTGTCGGCAGTTTAGATTTGGTTTAGAGGCAGAGCATAAGATAATTCCACATATTTGACAAATAATGGCTAAGTACATTTTTCCGTTTTGCATGATCTCAAAAAATTTCTAATACACGGACTTGCATTATTCTCGTCGATACGTCAGTTGCAAATCTAGTTTTGTTATTATAATTTAGAAACGAAAAAGGAATCATTATCCACACAGCCAAACTAGACAATGTAAACCAAATGAATGTGTTCTTGGACAATCAATTGAATATTATGTTTCATTATTGTTGACAACGAACAATTTACATTTTGTACAATTACACTATCGGTATTTGAATAAATTAGACCTTGTGATAATAAGCTGAATTGAACAGTTGACTACATGACGTATAGGTTCATTGCTATTTACTGTAAAATGGGTCAATCACTAAGTTATTGAGGACAATTACCTAATATCCAGGATTTTAAAAGGGTTAAGTTAAAAGTTGATCAGATTGGCGGTATATTAAAGAAGGACTAAATTAAAAGTAACTACCCTTAACCGACGAGCATGCATGAAAATATTGATGACTGTTGATGAAGCGAAAGAGGTAGGAATGTACCTACTATGTAGATATGACTGTCTATACAATGTAACACCCACTTTTCACTATTTGAGTCCCGTGTAATAGGGGGTGAGCGTATTAAATAACAATTTATTTACAATTAATGTGTTTAACAAACCTATATATAATGTCTATCATTAAAATAAGCATAAACACAACGTCACACCTATTGTTCCTTAAAGAACTCTTTTTATCAGTTTTGTTAGTTAACTAAAAATTACTGGTTAATCATGTGAATATATTGAGAAAAGGTCTACTAGTTTCGAGTCACAAAGGGACTCTTCCTCATCGTCGATGACGACGATCGACGTCACGAAGCCTAGTTTTGTTAGTGCCACAAGGCTTGCGTATCTAAAGCCAAAAATTCGTACAGTTGAAAACCAAGACATAAAAATAAAATTAATATTATATTCCTTAAGGCAAACCGCGTTTTTGTTGCAATAAACTATGCGCGGTCAAAACTTGTATCTCATTATACATAATGATATAAGAAAAAACTATGACAATAATAATTGTGGTATCCGAAATAAATATAGAAGATGACTCAGTATTTAAAAGTTGTGAATGGTTGTAATATAGTACCTATGTAGGTATACCTAAAGTTAAACATGATAGGTATATTTCCTTGAAATCATTAACTAAAAATCGCGGGTTACTCACATAAATACTACATGCATATTTTAATTGTTATCTGTCTGTTTGTACTGGCTAATCTCTGGAGGTATTCCTCGTAGCGCTCCCGTTTTGAAGCGCGCCCATCTAAGCGCTCCCGTTTTATTCCTCTAAGCGCTCCCAAAAGTAGCGCTTTGAGGAACGATTAAAAATATTAAAATTTATTTCCTCGAAGCGCTCCCATGATTAATTTTCGGATAGAGATGGGACTTTACTAATTTAAATTATCGATAAGAACTAGGTAATAAGTAGAACACATTGTTATAGTATACAACTAACGGCCCGTCCCGGCTTTGGTAATTTTTTTTTTTTGTTTTATTGTAAATCCTTTAGTCCACCATATAGATAAATATAATCTTCCGACATATGGACTAAAGGATTTACAATAAAACAAAAAAATAATAATTACTAAAGCCGTGCGAAGCCGGGACGGGCTGCTAGTTGTATATTATAACAATGTGTTTTACTTATTACCTAGTTCTTATCGATAATTTAAATTAGTAAAGTCCCATCTCTATCCGAAAATTAATCATGGGAGCGCTTCGAGGAAATAAATTTTAATATTTTTAATCGTTCCTCAAAGCGCTACTTTTGGGAGCGCTTAGAGGAATAAAACGGGAGCGCTTCAAAACGGGAGCGCTACGAGGAATACCTCAATCTCTGAAATGGCTAGACAGATTTTGATGGGACTTTTACTGGCAGGTAGATGATATACTAAAGAGTAACATAAGCTATTTAAATTTTGGAAAATTGAAACGAAAATATGTCCTGAAAATTATATTATACTAGCGACCCGCCCCGGCTTCGCACGGGTGCAATATGCATATATTATACATACAAACATTCCTTAAGAATCACTCTATCTATTAAAAAAAACCGCATCAAAATCCGTTGCGTAGTTTGAAAGATCTAAGCATACATACGGACATACAGCGAAAGCGACTTTGTTTTATACTATGTATTGACATGGACGAAACGCGGGAAGCAGCTAGTAGAAGATAAAAATAGTTAAAATATACCTTCTTAGGGTAATTCCATTGCACAAACACAGTAGCTGCAAAAACGATGACAAAATATGAGTTACATACATTCTGTCTCAAATACTTGCAATTAAATACTGAATAAGATTGATCCCAACCAAATTAGACAACAGACTAAACCTGATTTGGGAACTAGAACTTGTTTGAATAAAAAGTATTACTTATATATCGCCAGACGAAGTTTAAATGCCAACTGAATATCAAACAAACAGGTTATGTTTTTACTAATAATTCAGATTTGTGCCAACAGATTATTTATTTATTACTAGAAAAAAATCCTGAAAACCCCACGGGAACGGGAGAAAACGGGATTGCGCGTATGAAGTCGCAGGCTGAAGCTAGTATTCTATTCTGTAAACAATTAGTACAGGGTTTCGAATCTCAGTTTTCTTCTGTAGTATCTAGTTAGGAGAATCGATCGAGTGATACATAGGCTGATTTTTTACACCACGTCTATTTTTTTACACATAATTTATAGAATAATATATTACGGGGATTCCCTTATAATAAATTACAAGTAGTAAAATGTTAATAAATAGAATTCATCAAATATTTATCTATACAACAGAATTTAGTAGAGCTTTCCCCGAAAAGTTCACGTGGGTAAGCCGTACTTTTAGGTAACAACTTCCAGAGCTAAAGTAATCTATATAAATAAAAATAAATAACCGAAAGTTTGAATAATAGATAAATATGCATATACACAATTATTGGACCAAATCGTCAAATGCTTTTTCGACATTTACATTTTTGTTAGTTTTGGGTGAAGCTAAGGAGGGTTACTAGTATTTAAACAAAATAAAAATAAGAAAATACCTTTCCGTCTTCAGTTTTATCCGACTTCACAAACATGGCTAGAGCAATAATCACTACTAACATAGAGAGAATTCGACTCAAAATCATTTTATATCAAAAACTTGCGATTAAATAACTAAAACGACTGATCCCATGCGACTTAAATAATAAACTAAAGCTAATTTAGGAACTTGTTTATCTATATAGAAGTATTTTTTTATATTTATTTCGATCGACTAAAATGCCATCTAAATATCAAAGAAACAGGTTGAGTACATACCAATGACTCAGAACTGCAAAAATATTAAATTAACTATGAATCGACACTTTGGAACGAGCAACTAGTTTGAAAGAAACCGTTAAAAAATTCTCTTTATCGACTTCAAAAGTAGTTTAAACATTAAATAGTGAAAGTATTTTTTTGACATTCAATATAAAAAAATCGTAGGAAAGTGAAAACTGTTCACTGAATATTTTTTTTAAATGCTTGTGGCTTGATCTACAGTCGAATATCGGTACCGAAGCCTAAAATATGCTTTTTAGAATGCATGTCTATTTG